CTCCCTCCCCCTCCCTCTGGCCGGCACGGCGTCACCCCGCGCCCTCACTCTCCAGCCGGCGGCGCTGCGCCCTCCTCGCAGACTCCAAGGTCGTCCAGCTCGCGCCGCCCGCGCTCTCCGAGTCGGCGAAGCGGGAGGAGAGGGCCGAGAGCGCGCTGGCGGGCCCGAGCAGCGTCGGCCACTCGCTCAGCCTGTACGGCCTCTCGAGCGACCTCTCGAGCGACGCGGCCGGCGGGGCGCTCTACCCGCCCGGTGACCCCGTCTACGAGCCTCCGCGCCACCTGCCGCCCATCGACGGCTCCCCCTCCGCCGACTCGAACCGCCGACTGACCGCCTCGAGCGTGAGCGCCGCCGTCTCGGGCGTGTACACCGAGCGCACGCAGCACGCCTCCGGCGCCGCCGGGCCCCGCCGAGCCCCCCCCCCCCCCCTCCCCTCCTGCCCGAGGCCCGCGCGCACCTGCCCTGCGCAGGAGGCGAGAGCGACCTGCTCGACAGCGAGGAGGACTGGGGCAGCGAGCCGCCGCCGCCGCCGCCGCCGCCGCCGGTGAGCTACCCTATGAGGCCGAGCGACACGCACGGCCACCGCCGCCGGCAGTCGCGGCGCAGCTCGCTGATGGACGACGAGCTCTCGCGAGGTGCCGCGCGGACGGCCTCTGGAGAGAGGGGCGGCTCCCGGGCCCGCTCGCCGACCCTTGCTCGGTGCGCGCCGCAGGCTTTCTGCCGAAGGACGTCATCCAGCTGCTGCTCGGCGAGCACTCGGCGCACCGGCCGCTGCACACCCTCTTCGAGCCGTGCTGCGCTTGCCTGCGCGAGGTGACGGCCGAGCTGCGCGCGGTGGTCGAGGAGCCGCACCCGCAGCTCACCCGCTTCCCTCGCCTGGTCGACGCGGTGCGCGCCTCGCCCACGCACACACGCACACACGCGCACGCACACACACACACACGCGCGCGCACACACACACATACACGCACGCACACGCACGCACACGCACACGCACACGCGCGCGCACACACACACACGCACGCACGCACAGGAGTGACCCCTCGCGGCGCCCTCGCACCCTCGCACCCCATCGCCCCGCCCCGCCGGCAGGTGCGCGGACGGGCGGGCGCGCTCCTCGACCGGCTCGCCTACGTGACGGAGGAGGAGATTGGCAAGATGATCGACATGGAGGAGGCGTACGTCTTCGTCACGCGCGCGCTGCTGCGCCGGATGGAGCGCGAGGGGGCGCACCGCGAGCCCTGCTCGGTGCTGCGCTACTACTTTGACGACGTGCGGCAGGCGGTCGCCAAGGCGGTGCCCAAGCTCGTCATCACGTACCTGTGCCGCCAGCTCGAGGCCAAGGTGGGCGAGGAGCTCTTTGGCGTCGCCTACACGCCCGGCCTGCTCGAGGAGGTGCAGGACAAGGCGAAGACGCGCGCTGAGGACGAGGCGACCGTGCGCAACCTGATCCGCGTCGAGGAGGCGCTGGCCAAACTCCCTCTGCAGTAAGGAGGGGGGGGGGGGATCCTGAGTGGCGAGGCCATCGCCGAGTGGGAGTGTGATGTGTGTGTCGTCTCGTGTCCATGTGTCGGGTGTTTAATAGCTCCGAGTAGAGGGGGCGTTCTGCTGCTGGGGAAGCCCGGAGCGCGGAGCCCCCAAAACCCTCGGAGAACACGGCGAGACCCGAGACCCGTGTGTAGCCGCGGTGTGTTTACCTTAAATAAATAAATAAAAAGGTCAAACTCTGAGACGAGATGGGATTTAGGGACATGTGTCCCCGCCCTGCACGATCTTTTGGTGTATGGAGGGATCTTCAATCCGTCGGTGTGTTTACCTTATTTACGACACAGCACGTTATACGCAGTATGGCCCTTTGGCCCTGCAATGCTGCAACGCGCGCGCACCGGCCACCGGCGGACCGCCCCCCAGCCCCCGCACCCCGCACGCCCCAGGCGCCAGGGCTAGGGCCTAGGCGCTAGGCCTATAGGGCTCTCTTACCCCGCAACCCGCGATCCCGATCTCTCTGGGTCTGGCCCGCTGGGACCTGGGTGTGCTTCTTTAAGAAGGGTTCTTTGTTCTCTTACATCTTACGGCTTTAGAGCCCCCCGGCCCTGGATGTGAGCGGGCTGCTAACTGCACTCCAACGTCCAAGTCCCCCCCCCCCCCCCCTCGGCATTCCGGGGCGGGATAGATGGCTAGGGGGCCTTAGGGGCGTGGCGGGCCAGGCGGGGGATGGCGTGGTGACGGTTTGACTTTGAGTTAGCAGAGTACGAACATGGAGTCTTGGTGTGCGCGACCGCGGTGTGCGCGTGTGGGGAAAGCCTACGTAGCTCCAGGGGACAGGGAGTCCACAGAGAGATGTCTACGTTACTCGTTAGAAGAGTGACTCGCTTCCCTTCGCGCATCCTTAACTAGCCTTAACTCGTCTTGCTCGATTTCTTATCGGAAGATGTGTATGGTATGCGCACTTGGAGCACTTGGAGATGGAGTGCAGACCGCCAGTCATCAACCGCACATCCTCATCCAGGGGGGCTACAAGAAGCGCACCCCAGAGCGGGCCAGATGATTGGCATCGGGTTACGGGCCGCCCCGCCCCCCGCTCGGAGGGCGTGCACCACACAGCACACAGATTCCCTAAAAAGAAAGAAAGAAAACAGACAATCCAAGGGAGGGATGGGAGGACGGCACGCCGACAGATTCCCCAAGATCGTTTTGGTCGTCACATTGATCATTGAGAGAGATTTTTAGCCCCCCGCTACCCGGTTGCACTCGTGCGACGTAGCGGGGGGCCACAACTACGTTTACGAAAACATAAGTAGTCCCGCGAGGTGTGAATTTGGCCGCCCCAGTACCCCTTTCCATGGGCTTGATTTTGCGGCCCCCGAGCGTCCAAACTTGTTTGGGCGCGAACCGTATCTCGCAACGAATCTCGCCGGCCTCACCGCACACCGGCTCACTTTGACCGACCTACCGTCCGCTCGACTGGCCGATGAAGAGCGACCCGTACGACGCGCACTTGTCGTCCTCCCTCCTCGCCACATGACGGCCGCCCCCCGACACCGACAGTCGCGCTCCGCACGCCTTCGAGGTCAGCTGCGGCCGAGCGACGACCGGCTCGCCTCCGATCGCTGGGCGCGGTCACTCTCCGGCCCATCACCCACCTGCCGATCACCTGTCCGCCTCGCCGCGCGCGGGCCGCTCGCCTGCTCGCCACCGCCGCCGCGCGTCCCCGCGCCGCCACGCTTCCCTGCACCTGACGGCGCTCGAGCTGCGCAGACGGCGCGCTCTGGCAGACAGAGCAGCGGCCGCCCAGGCGGTCGCTGCTCCGCCCCGTCCGAATCCGTCCGCCCGCGCGTGCTGCTGCCGCCGCCGCCGCCGCTCCACCCGGTGCCCGTGTGTCGTGAGAGTTGCTTTGTGTATGTGTATATGTCTATGTGGACAGCGACACTTCTGTCACACTTGAGCCTCTATCTATGATTGTAGACCGGTACTCGGGTTTGGATGGTAGCGGGGGGCCCCGCCGGAGGCTGGTTACTGATAGCAATAGCCAATACCAAACAACTCTAACACTCACACGTCATTTGGGGCCTGGAGCCCCTGTTTTGTGTAGTTTCTGGTGGTTTAGAGTTTGCGGGGGGGGACAGCTTTGGGCGGTCGACTTCAATTTTGGGGGGTTTACGACGGCCCCTGCAAAATGATGTTTATGGAGGGTTAAAGTTTGCGGGGGGGGACAGCTTTGGGCGGTCGACTTCAATTTTGGGGGGGGAAACGACGGTTTTGGGGATCCTGCCGACGCGCTACAGTGTTAGCCCCACTGCACATAAGATGGACACCTCAACGGGAGGGCCCTCGCAGCACCCGGGGCCGACGCCTGCAGCCTTTGTCTTGGCCCGATCCGGCGGTATGCCACGGGTAGGCGCGTTGAGGCTTGCCGCCTCCTCGGCGCCAACGCGGCCTGTGCCGCAGCTTGCGTTTGCTGCCAGACAAGAGGAGGAGCAGAGCCGTTTGGCGATAGGGCCAGGCAATAGCATTCGCCCCGTGGGCGTTGCGGACTCGAGCAACACCCGGGTCGAGGTTGCTGCGCCTCGTGGCGCAGTGATGCAGCATCGCACGCTCGTTGCGGGGGATGGAGCATCGGCGGCAGCCGGAATCCTGGCTCTTCCGGATGCAGGTCCGGCGGCATTTGCGGCGGTGTCTTTGCAGATGCGAGTGCAGCGCGGTCAGACACCGTCGGCCGCCGAATGTACCGAAAGTTCTCGTGGCAGGACGGTGCCAAGAAGATGCCTCGCCGTGCGGACGGCTCCCTCGATGCGGCTAGTTGCTTTCTGCCGCATGCGCCGTCGTTATCGGTCGCCCTAGCATCCTTCCAACGATGGGGAGCGCGCATCAACGAGCGGCGGCACGCGGCCGATCCGTCGGCGCCTAAGTTGCACTTGGATCTCTTTCGTCTGCATAGCCTGCGTCACGGCGCAGTCAAGAACCTGAAGGCGCTCGGCGTGACGGCCGACGAAGGCGCTCCATTTTTGTGCATGAGCCGCCACTTTTGGGACACCGTGTACGGCATGGAGGAGGCGGAAGAGGTTGGCGAGCACATTACACCGTTTGTGGTAGGCTCCGGGCGACGGGTCCGCCAGCGGGTGGGATGAAATGTGTAGCACTTGGACATGCCTATGTACGTTCCGTACGTTTAGCATACTGGGAGAGAGAGACTGGGAGAAATCATATGTACGAACCACATTCGTGTACGCGTTTACAACACGATGCGACGCGCGTGTTGTGTGCTCACACAAACACTTTGCCCATAGTTGGGCCGCGCCAGCACGCCCGCTTTTTGTCCTGAGCGCCTTGACAGCTGTTTGCTCGGGCGGCGTGATGCCGGCAATTGGTCTTTGCGCAGGCAATCCGTTGGACGAGGTTGAGGCGGAGCTGCGAGGTGTTCGTGACGCAGTCAGTGTCGACGATCGTGTCGATGACGTCGAGCGGCGCGAGCTTCTTCCTGAGGTGCGCGGTGAGCTCCTTCTTGCAGGCTTCCGGGTCGCCAAAGAAGGTGCCGACGGCCTTGAAGCAGTCCACTCGCCCCGTGGGTTTGCCCTCTTTGTCGCGGTGCGCCGGCGAGCCCCGGAGCCAGCCCGGCGCGCACGAGAGGTCGCCCTCGGGCGAGTAGATGAGCGACTTGCTGACGCCGTCGAAGACGCTCGCTCCCTTCTTCTGCGCCTCGAGGAGGCCCTTTGGTCCGGAGTAGGCGGCGACGGCGTGCGAGGGCTCGTCGTTCTGGCAGATGTCGTCCGCAAAGCCGATGAGGCGCATGGTCGGGTTGTCGCGACCGCGGTCGGGGTGGGTGGGGGTGGCAAGGGGGGGGGGGGGGGTGGCAAGGGGGGGGGGGGATGGTCATGCGCCTCAGAGAAAAAGAATTTTACAACAAAACTCCCTCGCACGACACTTTGGGCATGAAATAAGTTATTTTTGTTCTGCCCGCGGGGCGGGCAGCGGGCAGCTGCACCCAGTACGCGCGGGGCGCTGCAACTGCTGCTGCTGCTGAGCCCAGTCAGTGGCGCAAATGTCCACGGCGGAATGGCGCGAAGATGAGCCCGGCACATTCGTCAAGCCGTGCAGATGTGGACTCCCTGAGTGCAACGGCAGCTCGATCGTGCGGAGCGCCAGAAGCGGCAACCAGCCTCGCCTCTGCAGATTCTGCGGTTGCAGCTGCATTCGGAAAGCGTGCATCGATAGCAAAACGGATAATGATCTCCTTCAAGGGCAGCATGTATGCCGCTTGCTCAATGTGCCGCGCCAAGCCTCATGGCGAGCTGAGTCTGGCGCCTCCTCAGAAGCCGCCCGGGCGCCCTCGCAAGTGTGGGCCGCCAGAGCCGACCGGCCTGCCGCAGCCGCCGCCGCCGCCGCCTCCGCCGCCGCAGCAGCAGCAGTTTGAGGACTCACTCGCCTCACCCCAAGGCACGTCCACCCAAGGCACGTCACCCCACGGCACGGCGGTGGAGGCGGCGGTGGCGTATGCACGGGCGGTTGGCGAGGCGGCGGCGACGGCGGCAGGAGAGGCAGGGCCGTCGGCAGCGGCGGCGGGCGAGGCGTCCGAATCGGAGGAGGGCGAGCCAGGCGGCGCTGGCGGCGAGACTGCGGTCGCCGAGAGCAGCAGCGACGAGGAGGAGGAGGCTGCTTCTCCGCCCCTCCGCGCTCCAAGCTGCAAGACGCTCGGCTGCAGCCTCCGCCTCTGGCACGAGGGGCCTTGCAGCACCGCCGTCACAGGCCCTGTTCACGCGCTTTTTTGTTGTCGTCGAGGGAGGGGGGGGGGGGGTCCCACGAGCCACGTGGGTTGCGGGCATTAAGAAAACAGGATTCCGCGGCACGCCGCCGTTTCTAAGCCTTTCCACAGCCCTCATCCACCCCACGCCGTGGTTTCTTAGCTCCGGGCGGCTAGAGATTCTTTTTCCTTCGCGGCAACGCGATGGCGGCAAGGCCTCTCTGCGCGCCCGCCCTCGCCACGCCGAAGACCAACCGACGTCGGACCGCGGTGAGGCAAAATGATGTTTATGGAGGTTTAAAGTTTGCGGGGGGGGACAGCTTTGCGCGGTCGACTTCAATTTGCGGGGGTTTACGACGGTTTTGGGGATCCTGCCGACGCGCTACACCTATCCTTCGTCTCCGCCCGCGCCGTGCCGCAGATGGCCGACTGCGAAGCCGTGATGGCGGGCGTCGAGCAGCGCGAGGGCACCGACTACCGGGCGCGCGCTCGATCGCGGTGATGGCGGTGCCGTCGGTCACATTTGCGCGAAACGAACAAACTGCAACAACAACTGTACAGCTAAAAAATCTCTCTCTCTCTCTCTCAAACTGCAGGCACCTCTGAGCGTTTGGCGTGTCCGTTGTATTTATTTATTTACCTCTGAGCTGTTAACAAAAAATATTTGGTCTGTGTCCTCTGCCGCCTCCCTTCTCACGGTGTTCCGGGTGGAGCGTTCTCTTTTTGTGGACGTTTTGCAGGTGTGTATTCTTTTTGCTTGGGGCGGCCAGCATGCTGAAATTCTGGAAAAACCTGACCGGCCCCTGCGGTGCCCCTACCTACCTACCTACCTACCCTACTTATGGGAAACTAAAAAAGAAATCACGGTATGGGTGAAGGTGGGGTACTATACCAACTAAAGTGATGGCTGGTGGTACTCTCCTGCAATCACAGTCCTTCCTGTGACATGGCAGGCCACTATCAAGCCCTACAAGCACCAGATCACCCACTTGGGGAGGGTTGACGTCGTGATTTTCGCCGAAAATTTCTTTTTTTGCTGTGAAAATTCCGGCGTGAAGAGAGGGAAAACCCCGAGGGGGAGGCCCAGACCTACCCTACCTACCCCGGCAAGCTGGCCGCCCCAAGCAAAAAGAATACACACCCGTTTTGAGAACGTTTTGCAGCCACAGGAGACGCCTCCTTGGGGCGGCCTTTGGAGACGTCGCAATGGGCGGTGCCTGTAGTGCCTGTAGCTCCAAACATCAGCCGTCGGTGGGCCCAAGGTCGCCGTCGCCTCGCAAATCGGTCACCTTCGATGGCAAAAGCCGCGACGGCTCTCTCGCAAGCGTGAGCGTCCCTGACGCGTCGCCAGACCTCCACGGGAAGGTCTCCCTCTCCAATCACCGCTCCTCCGACTCCCCCTCCTCCGAGCCACCCAGATGCATCTCTCCCGTCAAGTTCGCCGCGCGCGTCTCGATGCCGAGGGCCTTTGTGGTCGACGCCGGCTCGCGGCACACCGAGGTTTTCGCATACGACCAGGGACCAGACGGCATGCCGGTGATCCTCCACAGCGCCAAGCTGCGGCGCGACGACCAGAGCTTGATGACGCTGGGCGACACCATCAACGACGGCAGCGATGAGACCTTTGAACTCTTCTTCAAGCTGCTCTCCGATACGCTCGCCGCCTTCGACTCTAACGGCGGCCCAGAGCCGGCCATCTTCATCGGCGCCACCGGCGGCGTGCGCAAGATTCGGGATAGCGACGCGGGCGCGCGCAAGGTTGATCAGTTCGCGCGCTTCTGCCGATGCGAGCACCCGAATGTCACCTTCCGCGTCGTCGAGGGCCTCGACGAGGTGCGGTGGGAGTGGACGGCGGCAAAGGCGCTCTTCCATGCGGCCTTTGAGGACGCGGGCCATGAAGGCGGCGTGCAGCTGCTCGCCGGCGGCGGCTCGTCGGTGCAAGTGGGCATCCGCGGCATGTCAACCGCCGAGGGCGGGGTGTCTCCCGTCTCTATGCCGCTCAGCGTGGGTGAGGTGCAGGACGCTTTCAAGGCGGACGCGGCAGCAGCAGCCGGCGAGTGGCCGTCGCTCGAGCGGTCGCGGCAGAGTCTCGAGCGCGTGGTGGACGCCAGCTGGCCGCACCTGCGCGCCCACGCGCCGATACGCGGCGGGGTGCTGGCCATGTCCGGCTTTGCGGACATCGCTCAGCTCGGCTTCTCGGAGCGGTGGATCTCGGTGGAGGAGCTCAAGCCGCTGGTGGACAAGACGCTCGACGAGCTGCTGCAGCAGGAGGGCGCCGGCTGGGACAAGGCCGTCGAGAAGTGGGGCAAGCACCGGTTCTGGGCAGAGTTCCCAGAACGCCTCTGGTCGATCGGCGCGGCCGGCCTGCTCCGCCTCTCCGTCCTGCTCACCCGCCCCGGCCTCTTCCGCCCTTCGGCGCGGCTCTATTTCGCCGACACGCCGCCGCCGCCGCCCGAGGGCACGGCGCCACGGCCCAAGCTGACTTGGCCTCTGGGGAAGTACCTCTCCGACGTGCAGCTCTGCGAAGCGCGCGAGCAGGTGCTTGCGGCGGGGAGTTCGCTCCTTGCAGCGCGCACGCGAGTGGCGGAGCTCACGCCGCCGGGCAACCCGACCAGCCGCACTGGCTACTTGCGCTCGCTGCGAGACTGCGTTGGGCCGCCTCCGGACGACTGCATGGAGAAGTGGCGGGAGGAGTGGGTGAAGCTGCGGACCGAGGAGTACTTGCGTTCTGACGACCCGGCGGACAAGGACAAGGGCACCGAGGAGTATGTGAGGGCACACAAGGACCTCGACAGCGTGCTCAACAAGTTTGCCCGCGGGATCAAGGAGAGCGTCGATAGCGGCATGGATCCGAAGCACGCGGAGATCTATTACGCCCTGCAGTCGGTGAGGGGCTCGCTGGCAGCCGCGATGCGGGAGGGCCGGAAGGACTACGTCTGCTCCACGTACGCCCTCTCCGAGGCTCTCAGCTCTGAGTACGACCTGCAGAAGAAACTTGCGCTTCCGCCGTCGCTGTACAAGAACCTCGAGGGCAAGTTTGGGCTGGCGTCGGACGACTCGCAGTGGAGCAGCATCCGCACGCCCGACGAGGCGGGCTTCCGAGGGCTCGTCTCCGAGGCGATGGTCATGGTGCGCCCCGCACCCCACCCCCGGGCTGCTGAGCATCTCCGCGCGGCCCGCATCTCAGCGCTCTCCATCCCCCACCTCAGGCAAACGACCGCCTCGACTGCTTTAGCGAGGAGGGCTTTATGGTCTTTGACGACGGGGGCTTGAAGCCTGTCAGCGGTCCCATCGTCTGCTTCGAGGCGGCGGCGAGCGACGACCACGGCGACCACGCACCAATCGTCATCAAGAAGACGATCGCGCCCACCGCATCGAAGGGCGGAGCCGACGGCGGAACGTTGAAGCCGACTTCCCGGAAGCAGACTTCGGGGGCCTTCCCGCCCAACACGCTGTTCCGACTCAAGGAGACCAAGCCCGCCGGCAGCTGGCTCGCGCCGGACGGCGTGACCAAGCCGATGGTCGACCTTCTCGTCGTCACGGCGACCTTCAAGGCGCCGAAGCGGCTCAGCAGCTCGAGCGGCTCCGGCGGCGGCAAGATGGCGGAGCTGCCCGTCTCTTTGCAGTACGCGTCGCGCAAGGCGTTTGTCAAGGGCCTCGACGACATCATCGAGCGGCCGCTGCTCACGCTCGAGCAGGAGTTTATGCGAGACTACTCCTGGACGGACTTCAAGGACGTCAAGTACACGCTGCGCGAGGAGTGGGAGTACGTCAACGGGGAAGCCGTCCCCGCCGCTGACAAGACGCCCGGCACGCGCGACGAGAAAAACGGCGGCATGTCCGTGGTGCAGTTTTGCGATCGCATTAACGCGCGCATTGCAGAGCGGCGCGAGAAGCTAAAGCAGATGAGCCCAGACACGCCGATGCCGAGCGAGGCCAACGCCTTTCTGACGCGCGAGGAGGTGCTTGCGGTTCGGCTGTACTCTGGCCCAGCCTACCAGCCCGTCAACCGCTTCCTGCGCGAGATTGGAAACTTGTCTGGCGGCTTCCGCCGGCTGGTCGCGACGCACCCGGCGGCGACCTTCACCGCCACTGTGGCGCACCTCTGCCGAGCCATCCGCAAGCTCTCCGCCATCACGCTTCCGGAGGAGGCGGACAAGCCTCTCTACCGTGGCGTGCGCGGCGAGCTGCCGTACTCGTTTTGGGTGCGGGGCGAGCTCGGCATGGTCTGTGCCACGGACACCGCCTTCATGTCCACTTCCCGCAACCGCGCGACGCCGGTGATGTACATGGACGAGAATGGCCCGAACGTGCTGTGGAGCCTCCGCCCGTCATGCGAGGGAGACACGGGCTTCCACCACGGCGCCGACATCTCGCTGCTCTCGCAGTTTGCCGGCGAGGAGGAGGTGCTCTTCCCGCCGTGCACCATGCTGCAGGTTCTCGAGCAGAAGGACTCGCCTGCAGTGACAGCAGAAGACAAAAAGGCGGCATGGAAGGCCACAAAGCAAAAGACCAACTCGCGTTTCTCGACCGAAGCGGTGCTAGCGGGCGCCCCGTCCGGCAGCGGCGGAAAGCCGGGGCCATCCAGAGCCAAGGCGAGCTCCACGGAGGAGCTTGCCAACCAGCTGCGCGAGTACAAGGAGGAGTCTGTGGAGGGCAAGCCGAATAAGCCCAAGGTGGTGTATTACGAGATCCGGGTCATGCCGACGTTTGTATGATTTAGTTGCAGTTGGATGTTTTGCTTTTTTGATGTTTTTAGTTGAAACACATAAAGTACAGGCACACCTACGCTGCCGACTCCGGCCCCTCGTCCCAGTCGACCCCCGTGTCCTCTGGCGGAAGCGGCGCACCCGGAGCCAGCAGTCGGATGCGCACAGCGGCGGCCATGTCGCTCGGCGGCACCGCCGCGGCGGCGCCGCCGGCGCCAAACAGCCCCGTGGCGAAAGGCACGCCCGGCAGCGGCGGCACGATGGAGGGCTGCGCCGCGCCGCCGCCCGCGCCCGCGCCGGTGTCCTTCGTGTCGACGAGGACGGTCGCGCCGTCCTGCGCCTCCTGGTCTCCGATCAGCAGCCGGGAGAGCGGGTCGAGCAGGTGGTGGCGGATGGCGCGCCGCACCGGCCGCGCGCCGTACGCTGGGTCGTACCCGGCCTCCGCCAGCCGGAGCAGGGCGTCCGGGGAGAGGCGCAGGCGGACACCGCGCGCAGAGAGGCGCTCCCGCAGCTGCTGCACCTCGACAGCGCAGATGGCGGCGATGCGCTCGCGGGTGAGCCGCTCGAAGAGGACCTGCTCGCGGCGCCGCCGGTGAGCAGGCCGCCGGGGGGAGGGGGGGAGGGGGGGCGAAGCCGGAACTCGACGGCGAACCCTCTCGGCCCCCCCTCGCGCCGCGTCTCGGCTACGGGGCCCACAACCTCGGCTACGGGGCTCACAATCTCGGCTACGGGGCTCACAATCTCGGCTACGGGGCTCACAATCTCGTCGAGCCGGTTGACGAACTCGGGCGGGAAGGCGTCCGCGATCGCCTTGAGCACTTCGGGCCGCGCCTTGGAGGAGGCGGCCCCCTCCGGCAGCGACGCGAGCGCCTCTGCGCCCAAGTTGGACGTCATGATGATGATCGTGTTGCGGAAGTCGACCGTCTTGCCTTGCGAGTCGGTGAGGCGGCCCTCGTCGAGGACCTGCAGCAGCAGCGTCGCAACCTCGCGGTGCGCCTTCTCGAACTCGTCGAGGAGCAGCACCGAGTACGGCCGCCGCCGCACCGCCTCGGTCAGCTGGCCGCCCTCGTCGTACCCGACGTAGCCGGGCGGCGCGCCGACGAGGCGAGAGACGGCGTGCTTCTCGCTGAACTCGGACATGTCGAGCCGCGTGACCGCGTCGGCCGAGTCGAAGAGGAACTCGGCAAGCGCCTTGCAAAGGTGCGTCTTGCCCACGCCGGTCGGCCCGACCAGCATGAAGGTGCCTGCGCAGGCAAGGCTCCGGGAGGGCTCGCGGCAGGCAGAGCGAGCCGGTCGGCCACACCAGCAGGGGCGCGCCGAGCGGGCGCTCGGACGACTGCAGCCCGGCGCGCGAGACTCGCACCGCGTTCGACACGACGGCGAGCGCCTCGTCCTGCCCGATGACGGACCGCGCGAGCGTCGCCTCCATCTGCAGCAGCTTCTCCCGCTCGCCTGCAGCACACCGCCTCCGCCTCGGGACCACGCGCACGCACGCGCCACTCCCCGCGCCGCCCTCTGGCTGCGCGCGCCCGCAACAAGCCTCGCCGCAGGGATGCCGGTCGCGCGCGCCACGATTTCGGCGATATGCGCCTCCGTCACTTGCTCCGACAAGAGCGCGGCGTCGGAGTCGCCCGTCTCGGCGCCCTCGCCGCCCGCGCCGCCGCCCGCGGCCTCGCTCCACTGCGAGAACTCCTTTTCGAGCCGCGGGATGATCGCGTACGTCAGCTCGCCCGCGCGCACCAGGTCGCCGTCCCGCTCCGCCACGGCAAGGTCGGCGCGCGCCTGTTCACAGCAGCAACTGTGAAGAGACGCTGTTCACAGCTCCGCCACGGCCAGGTCGGCGCGCGCCTGCTGCAGGCTCGCGCGCGCCGCCTTGCGCTGCTCGAGCGTCTCCCGCTGCGCGCTCCACGCGGCGCCCAGCTCCTGCGCCGTCGCCTGCTTGGCGTGCAGCAGCCGGCGGATCTCGCCCCTCCGCGCCGTGACGTGCACGCCTACGCGGGAGGCGTGCCCGAGAGGCGTCCGGGAGAGGCCCCGCCGCTGCGCCGAGCCAGCGTCGGCCCCGCTCGCCCGACTCGCGCCGCAGCGCCTCGAGCTCGATCTGCAGGTTAAGCACCTGCAGAAAGGGAGCGACGGGGGCTGCGCAAGGCCGCCGCACCTCGCTCCCGCTCCGCAGCGCCTCCGCGCCTCGCGCTCCAGGTCCGCGATCGGCTCCGGCTTGGACTCGTGCTGCAGCCGCAGCCGGCTCGCAGCCTCGTCGAGGAGGCCGATGGCATTCAATTAAAACGAGATTAACATTAATTAAACTAAAAGGCTCGCAGCCTCGTCGAGGAGGTCGATGGCCGAGTCTGGCAGCTTCCGCTCGACGAGGTAGCTGCCCGGCGGGCGGGCGGTGGGGGGTGGCCGAGGGCGCGCGTGTCGTGCAGGGGCGGCGAGAGGGGAGGCGGCGGAGGAGAGAGCGAGGGGGCGGGAGCGGCACAGGAGACGTGAGGGGCGGAGGCGCGGGCGCGGAGAGGGCGTGGGGCGGAGGCGGGGGCGAGAGGGGAGGGGAGGGGCGCGGGCGTCTCGCACCGCTTCGCGTGCGCCACTGCGGCGACGAGCGCCGCGTCGGTGATGTGTACCCCGTGGTGCGCCTGCGGGGGAGGGGGGCGGCGAGGCGGGTTCGGGGAGGTCTCTTGCCGGCCTCGAGGCCTCGGATGTGTGGCGCAGCGCCTGGTACTTCTCCTTGATGCCGCGCAGGATGGTGAGCGACTCGGCGGGCGTGGGCTCGGCCACCATCACCGGCTGGAAGCGGCGCGCGAGCGCGGCGTCCTTCTCGATCGCGCGGTACTCGTTGAGCGTGGTCGCGCCGACGACGGCTATCTCGCCGCGCGCCAGCTGCGGCTTGAGGAGTGCGGAGGCGTCCATCGCCCCGTCGGCGTCGCCCGCGCCCATCACGGAGTGGATCTCGTCGATGAAGAGGATCACCTCCCCCTCCGAGTCGGCCGCCTCCTTGAGCACGCCCTTGAAGCGCTCCTCAAACTCGCCGCGGAACTTTGCGCCCGCGAGCAGCGTGCCTGCGGCGCCAAGACGTGTCGTGGGCGCGCCGCGGGCGTCCCGAGGGCGGTGGCGGTGCGAGTGGCGGCGGTGCGGACGTGTGGGCAGCGGCGCGGTCGGGAGTGGAGCCGGACGCGGCGTGGCGTGGCGTGGCTTTGGAGCGGCAGCAGCGCGCCCATATCGACGGCAATCAGCCGGCGCGAGCGCATCGAGTCGGGTACCTCGCGGTCGACGATGCGCTGGGCGAGCCCCTCTGCCACGGCCGTCTTTCCCACGCCCGGCTCACCAATCAGCACCGGGTTGTTCTTCCGCCGGCGCGAGAGCACCTGGATCGTCCTGCGGATCTCCTCGTCGCGGCCGACGACCGTGTCGAGCTTGCCCTCGCGCGCCATCGCCGTGAGGTCGCTCCCGTACTTGTGCAGCGCGTCGCCCTTGTCGCCGCCTCCGCCGGGCACGCGGTTGAGCGGGTTGACCCACGCGTTAGACGAGGACTGGCCACCACCGCCGCTGCCGCCGGAACCCGCGCTGCCGCCGCCAGACCCTGGCCGCGAGCCGGTGCGCGACGAGGAGCTGAGGCGACGCAGGAGCGGCTGCTGGCGCAGGAGGAGGCGCGGGACCAGGCTTCGACGGGAGGCGGCGGAGGAGGCGGCGGCGAGGGGCTGGAGTGGTCGGAGCATTTCGACGTTTCCGAAAAGAAGATAACGCGTCAACTTCTTGCGGTAGTCCCAGTCATGGAACGCCAGAGACGGTCGGGGCTCTGGCTCGGGGCCTGGGAGTGCCGCCGGCAGCACGCACAGCGTTCAATGCCTGCCGACGCTCCGTCCGAGCCGACGACTTTAGGTGAAGGAGGCAGGTGGCCAATAGCGAGAGGCGGCCCCTAATTTCCGTTATTTATTATTAAGACACGCCGCCGGCCAGCGAAAAAAAAAGCGGAGGCGCGGCGTCGGCGCTGACCTCTCGTTGCTGGCCCGTGTCCTTGCAGGGCTGGTCCGGCTTAACAGCTGGCGAGCAACTGAAGACCAGAGTCATGGGCAAAGGCGAAGGCAAAGGCGGCGTTTCAGACCCGCACAAGGGGCCGGGCTGCTGCGGCGGCTGCGCGACCGACGATCCCGACTTCCCCGCTGATCCAGATGAGGCGGGCTGCACCGACATCTTTTGCCTCGGCCTCTTCTTGGTCTTTTGGGTGGGCATCGTGGGGATCGGCGTGTCCGCCATCTCCACGGGCGACCTGACGGCGCTCTATCGCGGCGCGGACTACCTGGGCAACCGGTGTGGCGTCGATGACAACAACTTTGAAAAGAACGGTGAAAGTTACTCCGTCCCCGGGGATCCTGATACGGGTAGCACGCTGGGCGGGTACATTTGGTACCCGCAGATCGCAAAGGACCTGTCGCTGCAGCAGTCGCTCATCGCCAAGGGCCAGTGGGCCTCGGTGACCCTGTACGGCCTCTGTGTCGACGAGTGCCCTAAAGTCGGGTCAGAGCCGATTGAGGACTATGGGCACCAGGCGAGGAAGAATGGAAAGGAGGGGGGCAAGGTGTTGTGTTCCGTTGCCCATGAGGATGACGAGAAGTGTACGGACGACGAGATCTTGTCCAAGGCGGGCGAGGATGGCACGTGGGGTGCGCTCCGATACCACCCCTCCCCGCCTCCTCGCCCTCTCGCCCCCTCGGCCGCCCTCCCGCTCGCCTGGGGCGCGCCTCTCCCCTCCTCTCCTCCGACCGCGGCCCCGCCTCGCCTCGCCTCGCCCTCCCCCTCTCCCCCTCCCCCTCCCCCTCCGCACACACACTCCACCCCCTCCTCTCTTCCCTTCTCCCGAGAGCCCCCCCACCCACCCACCCCCTCCCCCCACCCCCCCTCCCCACCCACAGGCGTCTACCTCTCGACCATGCCTGTGCTCAACCGTTGCCTCCCGAAGAGCGACACGAACAGCAGCGACGCCAAGCTCTGCACCGACCCGCCCTGCACCGACCCCGACATCAACAAGCCCTGCTACGAGCACAACGTCGACGTGGCGCGCCCCTCACGCCCGCGCGGGGCAGAGACCCGCCGGGTCGCGACCAGGCCCGCCCCTCCCGGCGGCGTCTCCTCACGGAGGGAGCGGGTGTGGACAGGTCGGCACGACGGCGTGGGAGATCTCCTCCCTCGAGGAAGCCTACCTCTGCGACCGCGAGCTCGACCTCGTCGTCTCCACCACCGCAAAGCAAGCTGGCGCGGGCTTCTTCGTCGGCGCCCCTCTCCGCCAGAGCGGACCGGCGCGCGCCGCGGGTCCGCCACGCGCGTGCGCTGCATGTAGGCTCCGTCCTCGACCAGCTGAACAAGCTCGACGCCATGTTCGAAGCCCTCAGGGAGAACAAGGGTACCATCGCCTTTTGGGGCCTCGTCGCGCCGCTGCTCATTGTCTTTGGTGCGGCGGCAGCACACCTCCCCTCCCACCCTCTCCCCTCCCTCCCTCCCTCCCCCGTCCCTCCTCCTCAAATCCCCCCCCCCCCCCCCCC